GGTACCCGGGAAGGACCGGATGTCGCGGACAGGATGACGAGAGAGGACACGAAAGCAAGCCTGGAGAGATACCAAGTAACTAACACCGAGAGCTTCCCGGGCAAAAGGCAATAATAATGAGCACTCTCACTGCACTACCCCGGGCAGCTTACTTTCCAGGGCTTTTTCTAACTCTTTAAAAGTATGAGTTATGTGTAAGGATATTTTGCCTGCTTTGTGTGTGCGCCACGTGCATGCCTGGTGCCTGCGAAGAGCTTCGGATCCCCAGGAACTAGAGTTATGGATGGCTGCGAGCCACCATGTGAGTGACTAGAATGTAACCGAATCACCTGCTGGAGCAGGAAATAATGTTAACTGCTGGGCTGTCTCTCCAACCTGATACTTTTTTTTTTTTTAAACTAAAGTGCTACAGCCTTGATTATTATGTACTTTTAATTGCATTTTTATGATTTGAGATTATGATAAAATTACATCATTTCCCCCTTCCCATCCATCCCTCAAACCCTACCATATACCCCTTCCTGCTCTTCCAGCGTCATGGCCTCCATTCGTGTATTAAACAACAGTGTTGATAAAAATCAATTTCTTCGAAAATTTAGGGAAAGTCTTAGAAACGAAGGACAATTTATTTCGTTGGAAATTAATCCAAAGCCTACTCCTTCTACAGGCTTTTTATTTATTTATTTTAGTCTTTCGAGACAGGGTTTCTCTGCAGTTTTGGAACCTGTCCCGAAACTCTGTAGGCCAGGCTGGCCTCGAACTCACAGATGTCCACCTATCTCTCCTGTGCTGGGATTATAGGTGTGGGCCACCGCCTCTTTCTACAGTCTTAAAATAATTGAAGCCAAAATAAATAAATAATTGTAACGACTTGATGATTTTACTATTAAAATGTTAATATGTGAAAATGTGTCTCAATTGGGAAGATGAATGCCTAGAATATTGCACAAGACCTGCATCTGCTACTGAGCGCCTATAGGATGGCTAACAACCATCTGTGGCTGCCCTCATCTAACCTCTACTGCATGCCAAACAGGTCCACACACCAAAATACACATAACATATTTGTGAGATTCCACCCAAATGTAGTTCTAAAATTATTCTCAAAATTCAAATTTCTTTTCTAATAAAATAGTTGGAAATGTGTGGGATATTTTTAGGTTTGTTAATTTTTGTGTGTATGAGTGTTTTTTCCTGCAGGTATGTCTGTGCAACACCTGTGTGCCTGATGCCCACAGAGGTCAGAAGAAGATATCAGAGATGCCCTGGAACAGAGTTACAGGTGGACATGAACCACCATATGGTTGCTGGGAAGCAAACCAGTCCTTTGTACGAATAGCAAGTTCTTTTAACTGCTGAACCATCTCAACCCCGCCCCTCCTCATTTATTTATTTATTCATTCATTCATTCATTTATTTATTTATTTTCTACGTAGCCATCCCTGGCTGTCCTTTGATTCACTGTGTAGATCAGGCTGGCCCGCCCAGCTATTTGCCTGCCTCTGCTGGCAAACCGCCAGCCTCTGCTAGGAGTACAGTTTGTAGTTTTCTGGACAGGTTTTTTTTTTTTTTTTGTTTTTTTTTTTTTTTTGGGGGGGGGTAGTCCCGTGGCAGCTTACTATGCGACCAAGGATAACCTTCAGCTTTTGATCCTCCTGCATCTATCTCCCAAGTGTTTGGGAGTACAGGTGTTCACCATGCTTAGCCTCTTATGAGCATTCCTGCCTAACTCTTCGAGTATGAGAATGCCTTAGGGGCTCGCAGTACTGCTCGGGTGAGGGATAAAGGTTCCAGCTGCTATTATCGTCGGGGGGGGGGGGGGGTCTTGATCGGCTTCTTTTCTCTCTGCCAGTTAAAGATGTAAAAGGCAAGGAAAATCTCGAGATGAACGGGAAGCAGCAGGGGAAGACCTCAGACACCACGGACAGAATCAGCCAGAGGGGAAGAAGCTTTTTAATTAGGGGAGAGGAAACAGAGCGAGTACCAGAAAAAGAGCTTCCTCAAAGCCAAGGGGAAACTCCAGCGCCCAAGGTCCTCATTCCCTAATTTGGGGTTGGTCAGTTTGAATAAAGACGGAGAGGCTGATAGGTTCACAACTTTGGGGCAAGCTGTCCAGATCCAGTCTTGAACTCGTCAAACCGGTCCGCCAGCAGGGGGGCCTGCTGGCGGAAGGAGAAGCGGGCCAGGCCTCTTTAAGTTGCCAGGCATTTGTCTCAGGTCGGGAAAGTAAGGAAGAGGCCGGAAGTGGAAGTGTGCCATCTTCATCAGCAATTTGTGCCCCTCCCCCCCAAGCCTGCTGGTCAGAGATCTTCTAACTCGTAGTTCCTCACTGAGAACCCGATGGCCTAAATCCATTGACTAGGACCCACCGGGTGGAGGGAGAGAGCCAACCAACACTCTCGAGTTAATCCTTTGACCGACGTGGCACTCCCCACTAAAATGGAAAAAAAAAAAAGTTTTTACAGAAAGTGTTAGGTTAGATATCTCTGCATGGAGCATGGCTAGAATTTTGGATACAATATTCTTTATAGCATTTTAAAAATAGCCTGTAACTCCTTGCCTCAGAACTGCACTCATTCCCAGTCCTCAGGGCATGTAGATCACTTAGAAAGCTGTCTGTCCAGCATGCATGAAAACCTAGGTTTGGCCTCCAGCAATTCATAAAATAGGCTTGGTGGCACAGACCTACAGACCCTGCACTGGAAGGGATCAGAAGTTCAAGGTCATCCTAGGTAGTTATGCTGTTGGAGTGCACCCTGGGTTATCTGAGACCCTGTCTCAAAAAACAAGTTTTCAGGACCTGGCATTTTGGCAAGGCCCCAGGAACCCCACCGAGCCATACCAAACCCCATGTGCACCTCAAGGGCTGGAAATTCAAATGTGCCAGAGGCACATCGGCAACTACCCTGAATCTTACTAATATTAAAAAAAAAAAAAAAAAAAAAAAAAAAAAGTGGATGTTGGGGGAAAAAACTGGGGATGATGGCACACAACTTTAATCACAGCCAACAGGAGGCAGAGAGAGGTGAGTCTCTGATTTTGAGGCCAGTGTGGTCTACATATTAAGCTCTAGGACAGCCTGGACTACATAGAGAGTTCTTGTCTGGAAAAACAAATAAGCAAGGAGCAGTCTCTCATGAAAAGCAAATGGCAGCATAGGTGTCGCCCTCCCTTGAAGGGTTATGTGCTGAGTCATCCATTTAGGATCAAATGTGACATTACTTGCTTTGTTGTGTTGTTTGTTTTTTGAGACAGTGTCTTTTTTAAAAAAATATTTTATTTTTTATTTTATCTGTATGTTTGCAGGCATGTCTGTGTATCACATAGTATCCAGTTTCCACAAAGACCAAAAGACAGGAACACATCCCCTGGAACTGAAGTTACAGACAGCTGTAAACTACCATGTCGGAGCCAGCAACAGAACCTGGTGAAAAGTTTCTGCACCCCGATAAGCCTCTCCACCCATGCAGCAATCCAAATCAGACCAAATCAAAACGAATTAGAAAAGCCCACATTTAATGGATACAACACTCCCCGGTGGCCTTCCAGCCACCCAGAGAGGAGAAGGGAAAGGGAAAGTGGAAAAACCAGGAGTCTGTGTCTCTGGGGGGACAGTTTAAATATCCTGTGGGAGTGGTCTTGAGCATCTGTTGGGGAGGGAACATCATTTGTCCACTTTTTGAGATGCAGCAGGGTCTGGAGGGAGATGGAGGAGGGGCTTGATGGAACCTCCACCCTAACATCCCAGACTCTGTGGGCATATGGATGCCAGGGGCTGGGTGAAGCTTCACCTTAATACCTGGGTCTTCTTGTGCTCTTAACAGCTGAACCATCTCTCCATCCCTGAGGCAGTGTCTTATGATCAGGGACTGCACACAAACTCACTATGTATCCCTCCTCCCCTTCCTCAGCATGTCCTGGGATACAGGCATGTGCCACAATGTTTTGCTTGTTTCCCGTTATATTGAAGTATTTACAGCTGAGAAACTAGTGTGGGGATGAGGAGGAGTGGAAGTTCTTTATGTAACCAGAAGAGATACAAATAACACAACTGAACGTTTCCATTTGTCTTTATGGAGTTTTCTTTTGTTGTTGCTTGTTTTTTCAGACAGGTCTCAGATAGCACAACTGGCCATAACATCATTATGTAACCAAGGATAACCTTGAACTCTTGAATCTCTTGCCTCTGGCTGGCAAGTGCTGAGACTATGAGCATAATAACATGCCATGCCTGACCAAGGTAATTTGAGGAGGAAGGGTGTTGGTTGGTTGGTTGGTTTGGAGTTGGTCCCCCCCAAGACAAGGTTTCTCTGACTGTCCTGAAACTCTCAATTTGTAGATCAGGCTGGACTTAAACTTGCAGAGATATGCCTGCCTCTATTTCTGGAGTTCTGGAATTAAAGGCATCTGGTTTGTTTTGTTTTGAGGAGGGGGTCTCAATGCAACAGGTTGGATTCAACTCCTGGCAATCTTCCTACCTCAGCCACCTAATTGTTGTCATTAGAAGCATGAACCATCATGGCCCCTGTCTATGCCTCAGGACACTGCTGAACTGTGAACCCACAGATCTACAAAGGCTAGGCAAATACATCATACATTAGTTATCATATCACTGTAGAGTGATATTCCTCCAATCTGTAGAAGTCTTGTTCTGTCTTTTTCTGTCTGTTCCTGAGCTTGATGTCTATGAACAGTGCTGGTCAGGTGTTTGATACAGTGTTCCTCTACTGGGATCTGTCTCAAGGTTTCTTGTGAGTGGTTGATGTAATGAGTTGTGTGGGGTGGGAGGGAGATGTCTCAAAGGTGTAATGCCCACATCACCAGGTATGTGATATCATTACATAACTGGTGTCAGCCTTGATCACGTGGATAAAGTGGAGTCTCCCAGGTTGTCCCAGTGTTGATTTTATTTTCTCTCTTAAAAAAAAAAAAAAAAAAAAAAAAAAAGTTCCTATTTGTTTTTTTTCATACACTATTCAGTAGAAGTGAGTGACCTTTGTATATTCTGGTTTCTCTTCAGAATGCAAAAATCTTTCATCTTTTACTAAAGATTTCCATAGAAAAGACCAACTCTGAATCTTAGCCCAATATTTTGAGACCTCAAAATAGAAAAAAGGGAGGAAGAGGAAGAAGAAATATGGATTAAGAGTGTAGCCCACTTGTGGTGGTGGTGGTGCGCACCTTTGATCCCAGCACTCAGGAGGCAGAGGCAGGCAGATCTCTGTGAGTATGAGGCCAGCTCTACAGAGCAAGTTCCAGGAAAGGCTCCAAAGCTACACAGAAACCCTGCCTCAAAAAAACCAAAAAAAAAAAAAAAAAAAAAAAAAAAAGAGTGTAGCCCACTGGTCTAATGCACCTGTGCAAGGCCCAGGATTTTTCTCATCAACACACACACACACACACACTCTACTCACCAAGAAATGAGTCACCAAGTCTATCCTGAGGGGAGGGAAATTAAACACTGTGTGTTAAAGGAACCAGTATTAAAGAATCTGTGAGGGAGTCTGGGAAGATAACAGAGTTGGGAAAGTGCTTGCCTTACAAGCATGGACACTTTAGTTCCATCACCAGGATGAATGTAAAGAGTCAGACGTGTAAGCTCATGTTTGTCATCCCAGCACTGGGCAGTAGCAGAGACCCTACACTCTGGCCAGCCAACCTAGTCTACTTGGTGAGCCCCAGGTCCTAGTGAGACACCCTGTCTTAAAAAAAGGGGGCGGCTCAGCAGATAAGAGCACTGACTGCTCTTCCAGAGAATCCAGGTTCAATTCCCAGGACCCACATTGCAGCTCACACCCATCTGTAGCTCCAGTTCCAGGACATCCAACTCCTTCATACAGACATACAGGCAAAACATGAATGCGCAGGAAATAAAAGTAAATAAATTATTTTTAAAATAAGTAAATAAATAAATGAGCTGCTATGGTGTCACATTCCTTTAATCCCAACACTTGGGAAGTAGAGGCAGGAGAATCTGTGAATTTGAGGTCATCCTGGGCTACACAGTGAGACTCTGTCTCAAAGAAAAATTTATAGATGGATAGATGGGCAGACAGATGAGCCTGGGAATTAAGGGCATTAAAACAACAAAAATCTTCAGTTCCTGAAGAGAAAGGATACTCAAGACTGTCCTCAGACCTCCACATACATGTATACCCATGTCACACACAAAGAATTGTATGTTAAAAGCATCAGAGTTATAAATACCCTGCAGATCTTTCTTTCTAATATTTATTTTTATTTTATGTGTGTGAGTGTTTTGCCTGCACATGTGTTAATGTACCTCATGAATGTGGTGCCCATAGAAGCCAGAAGAGGTAGTGGATTCTCAGGAGCTAGGGTTATTGATCGTTGTTAGCTATTCAGTGGTGGTTGTGCTCTTAATCACTAAACTATCTCACCAGTCCCCACCCATAGAGATTTTTTTTTGTAATATCCTGTTTTTTTTTTTTTAAAGATTGTAGTGTGGAAGGCATGGTGTGTGTGTGTGTGTGTAGTACTCATTTTTAGAGTGTGAAGGTAAGCAGGAGAAAGGTGGGAGTCGTGCCAGGCAGTGTACAGTGTACACTTGAGGTAGAGGGTTCCCACTTTCAAAGTAAATCTGTCATCTCCACTGTGTGGGCGATTCTAAGAGCTGCTTAGGTGCAGCCTGTGACGGGGCCTGTGTTGTAATTTTTAAAAGTGGCTGGAGAGAGAAAGATGCCATGCAACAGAGCTTGGATGGAGGGGTTTTTTAATTAGCAGAAAGTGGATGAGAAATGGTGGGAGGGGAGAGGGGAGACAAGTCTCTGGGGATAAGAGTGGCAGAAGAGAAGAGAGAGAGAGAGGTGAGATGTGAGGTGGGCAGGGCCCTTTTAAAAGGGAACATAGTTAATGTGCACAGGTGGTGCTCTTAGTGGCTGAAGCTGAGGGCGTATCTTGTCAGAATCCCAAGGGCAGGCCAGTACAGATGTTTGAATACTAACAGCCTGTACTTGGATTCAAGTTGAATCATCCATGTCAATGGATCAATATGACAGGAGAGCAAGGAAAAGGTAGTCGAGGGAGGTTTCAGAAAAAGCAGGAGGCAATGTTGGGCCTTGGAGCATAGGCAGTTTGTGAGTGAAGAGCGCCAAGAACGGTTCTGAGAAAAGGTTCAAGGTTGGTGACAGAGCTCTTTGGTTTATTTTGTTTCACTGAGTCAAGGTTTCACTCTGTTGCCTAGACTGGCCTGGAATTCACTAAGGCCCCTGATGGAGTTTGAATCACCCCTCCTGCCTCTGCCTCTTAATGCTAGGATCACAGGCATTGGCCCCATACCGTAGTCAGTGGGTCCTTTGGAGAATGAAACCAGGAAGACAGAAAGTGGGCTGCAACGGAATTAGGTGTTTGATGGGGAAGGTAAAGAAATATTCTGAGAGTAGCAGGCACTTTTGTACAGCTAAATCTACAACTAAAATCCCAACATTTAGCAGGCTGAGGCAGGAGGATTGTGAGTTCAAAGCCACCTTGGGCTACATGGCCAGATCTCAAAAAGAGGCAGGAGGAGGAGGAAAAAGGATAGCCTCTGGCTTGCTGTGCCCCTGGTGTCAGAGGAACATTCAGTAGCTTAGACAAGGGTGGTGATGACAGAGTGGGAGTCACCAAGGACTCAGAGGAAGTTTGGGAGGGGAGCAGAAAGAATGTTTATTGGTTTAGAGGAAGAACCAGGTTAAATATGCAGGACTCGTATTGGATACCTAGAAGACCCTGTAGGAGTGGCTAAGGCAAGGGGGAATATGGCACCATGGGTTTAGTGTAAAGGGCTGCTGGTGGGAAGTAGGAAATCTGCTTCAACTGGGGGAATTTTGTTTTTGCTGTTGTTTATTTGGTTTTTTTTTTGGGGGGGGGGGTTTCAAGACAGGGTTTCTCTGTGTAACAGATCTAGCTGTCCTAGAACTAGCTCTGTAGACCAGGCTGGCCTCAAACTCACAGAGATCTGCCTGCCTCTGCTGGGATTAAAGGTGTGTGCCACCAGTTGGTCTGAAAGTCAGGAATCTGTTCTCTGCCACAGAGTCCTGGGGTGTGGCATCTATATACAGAGAGGCAGGCATGCTTGCGGAGGGCATGTGGTACTGTGGAAGCAGCTGGTGATGGCTTCACCTCAATGAGGACTAGAATGGTTGAGTCATGTCATCGTCATTGAGAGTGATTCATTAGAGCTGGGCAGTGGTGGCAGAGGCAGGAGGATCTCTGTGAATTCAAGACCAGCTTGGTCTAGAGTGAGTTGCAGGAAAAGGCTCTAAAGCTATACAGAAGAAACCCTGCCTCAAAAAACCAAACCAAACAAAGAAGCACACAAAAAGAGAATGATTTATTGAAGCCAGATGTTGCAGAGCAAGCCTTTAAACTTCCCTGCACTTTAGGAGGCAGAGACAGGTGGACCTCTGTGAGTTTCAGGCCAGCCAGGGCTACATAGTAAGATCCTGTTTCAAAACAGCAAAACAAAACAGAGTTACCCACTTGATGTATAATTTAACTCTTCAACACTGTTAAAAGGATTCACTGTCAGCCTGGAATGAGGCTGAGTTTGGATGATTGTGGGCTTGAGGCCTCTTGAGCTACACAGTAAAAGATTGTCAAAAGAAAAGGGGGAATGGGCCAGGCCTCTGCCTCCCTGTGAGTTCGAGGCCAGCCTGGTCTACAGAGCTAGTTCCAGGACAGGCTCCAAAACAAAGCAGAGAAACCATGTCTCTAAAAAAACAAAAAGAAAAGAAGAGGGAAAAAAGGGGAAATGGGGGAGCACTTGTTGCTCTACCAGAAGACCCAAGCCCCAAAGGCCCACAAGGTGGTTCACAAACACGGTTAGATCTGGTTCTGGAGGACCTGACTACCTTCTCCAACCTCTGTGGCCACCAAGTACACACAGCTGGTTCCAGAAACTGCTCTGACTTAGATAGAAGGAAATAAGAGTGTAGCAAACAGAATTGGACCTTCACCTTTGTCTTATCAGGATCGGAGAGGGTGGGTCTTTATGAAGGGTCATTTACAGTGTGTTCCCGGGAGCTCTTCAGACATGGCAGCCTTCATGTCTAATGACATGCATTAGGGAGGCATACAAGGAAGTTACCCACCTTGGAGCCACGGAGCAGCAAATGGTTCTATCTCTATGGTTGCTGGCTGAGAGTTAATGCGTTGGCTGTTTGCAAGCCACGATAAGGAGACAAGAAAAATAAGACACGTGCTTAGATGACTGCCCTTCCTGCAATAATTGGTCCCAACTCTTGAGCTGTCCCTATAGATCAAGATGTGTGATAAGAATAAACATCACAGAGTTTGCAGTGCTCCTCAGGATGCCTGAGTTATATGTCATAGTCCAGATGAGCCACACACAGAATACAGTATCACTGACTCAGAGTGTGTGCAGCTTGACAGTTCCTGAGAGTCTACCTGTCCGTCCTGGAGCACTGATGGGCAGTCATTAAAACTAAAGAAGGAGCCCAGCACTTTAATCCCAGCACTCAGGAGGCTGAGGCAGGCAGATCTCTGTAAGTTCGAAGAGGCTCGCCTGGTCTACAGAGTGAGTTACAGGACAGCCAGGGCTGCACAGAGAAACACTGTGTCAGAAAACAAAACAAAACAAAGACAACAACAAAAAGGACTAAGGAAGAATAGAGAGAATTAAAGACAGAAGAGGAAGAAGAAAATCGAGGGTGGGGATGTATTTATTCAGAAAGAAAGGGACTTCCCGGAGTCTGGAGAGAAATCTTGTTTGTTTTGTTGGTTTCAGAGAGGGTCTTAGCCTGTAGTGCAGACTGGCCAGGAACTAGTATATCTGCCAGACTGACCTCAGCCTTGCAGTGACCCTCCCAGGCTCTGCTCTCCTTCCCCATACTGGCCTTATAAGCTTTCATTACCATGCTCTGCACAGTGTTTTTGTTTTTGTTGTTGTTTTTTTTGTTTGTTTGTTTGTTTTTGTTTTTCTGCAGCACTGACCTGTCTTTCTTACACCTACTTCTGTCAGTTCTGGGATGATAGGCCTGTGCCTTTACTCGAAGTGCTTCCATTTTAATGAGCAATTAAACAGTGCTGTGGAGACTGGGGTTCAACAAGATGGTATTCTCGTCTCTATATTATATATTTTCTCAAGGAGTCTGTTGC